GAACTTATTAGTAACATTGAAAACTACTTTTCAATTAATTTTTATTTATTTTTAAATGTTAGGTCTATTTCGAACGATAGATTAACGTCTACGGAGTTTTTGTATGTATACAAATATTAGCCAAACATACTTCTCTTAGAATCAGTCAAATATTCCCTTTCCATTTATGGTGTCAGTCAAATCTTTCCTTTATTATACTATTTTATGATTATTAATAAAGAATATTAGTTATGAATAGAAGACAGAACTATTCAAGTCACCCTATTGAGTCTTACTTTTTCAGTCAACTCTAATAGTTGCCAAATAAAAAATAGAGATATTATTGCCACAAATTTCATCTATCATTACTACATCCATTTATACTCAAACAATACACCTTACTACATCCACAAAGTTCACAAACAAACAAAATAGTAGATAGATTCAATCATGGCATCGAAATGCATAGATGATTGTCTAAACATCAATAGCGAAGCGGTGTGCGTCCGCCCGGGTACTACTTATGCTAAGCTCTACAAATGGCCGGTGGCCGAGGTAGAGTTCGTACGGTCAATTAGCAACGGCGGTAGCCAACGAAGTGCCATGGTGAACAGCATCTCTTGCAGGCAAATATATCTTAGGAGCTATACATTCTCAAGAAAAGAAGAGAATGAATACAAAAGAGAAGGTCAAGATGGTGAGGATGCAGGTGATCGAAGTATCAAACGGAGATGTTTTGGAGGAAGAAGAGGAAGGAACAAGGCGGCAAAGAACGGTACGAAGACAAGGAAAACGGTATCACATAGGGCGTATGTGGTGAGACTCGTAAGGAAATGTTTGTCTTGTGTTTCCTCTGCTATGTTTAATATTGAAAAATGAAGCAATTTTATCAATAGAATTATAATTAAATTCTTAAAAATGTATCAAAGCAGGGTGGATTTCAACAAATTTGTACTATCACTCTTTATTATAGAAATTGCATCATCAAATATTATTTCGGTTCAATACTTCGTATATTTCTCTTCACAATAATCTATTTCAACTTCCAGCAAATTAATTTAGTGTGCCAAATTCTCGCACGCGTATAAGAAACTACCAAATTTTCAACGACAATTTTTTAGCCCATATAAAATTTCTTAACATAGCCACATGAGTTTAAAGTACATGTTCGCATTTCCATGTCTACGGAAAAAATTTTTAGATAAAATTGAACGTCAAAATGTATATGCATGTATATACTTATTTCAAACCAAAGTTTACACGAATATACATTATTTATGAAGTAATTTTGAAAGCATGTTTATATGTTATTTCTACAGTCACTCTAAAAACAAAAATTATGACACGACAAGACATTTATCACTCTCACATAAATAGTATTGACATGGCGTTATCACCAAAAAATGTTTGCAAATATTTCTTCACGGTTTCTTCAAAAAAAATATTGAATCAACTAAACTAAAAATCTAATAAAAAATAATTAGCCACTACAAAACCTAAAGTCCTAGCCGATAATATGCCTCCCCCATTATATATAAAAACCATCCAACTTACATTCAAAGAATTTTTTTTTACATTCTTACCAACAATTTTTTTTCCATCAAAATGGTCTTTTCTATAATTATGATAATAATATTTTAGATCTAAATAACTCTAAATATACATGGAGCATTCGAGTAAAAGTAGAAAACGTTTCTTCTTTTTTCCACTGTATTTTTTATAGTTTTGATGAGTTGTAATTTTTTTTTATTATTATAAGGTTATACGCACATAGTATCATGATCCAAAATCAAACGATAAAATTTCAGATCTTAAACTACCTTAAATATATGTAGAAATTCATAAATCAGAATTAATATGACATATTTTGTTTTAAATTAGTGACATCATCAATTTTTAAGCAGCATAGTATGTGGTTCAAATCTCTTTTCCTTTTGGAGAAATATGTATAGTTTAAATCATAAATTCATAAAAGAACTTGACATTAGTCCTATGTTCAAATCGAATAGTATAAAATTCGGCATTTCATAAAATCAAGCATATATACAGTTAAAATCAGGTTATTGGTTATCACAAATTTTAGTAGAGGAGAAATATGCTAAATTTTTGCGAGAGCCAAGCCTCACGGCTTTAAAGGCACTTGTTTGGGAACTCCAACGCATTTCTAAAATAAAACATTTTTTGTGGCAAGTTATATTAGGCTCATTGGCATTTCCTCGAGGCTAAAGCAGTGTGAAAAAAAATGTTCACCCATGTACTTGCA